TTTATTATCAATATGTGATATATCCTATCAAGTAATTATTTAAATATACAAACTGGTAATTGATGGAAAATAACTTTTTATTAAAATTAATATTACTTCATGCACAAATATGAGTGATTTTAACTCTAATAAAAGAAATTTTCTGTCATATAATTGTTGTTTCTATCTTTACAGTAAATAGCTATTAGTATGAATAAATTATTTTAGTTGATTTTCAAGGTCACACCAAGTTAATTTTTCGCTTTGCACTCCAACTTTTTCAAAAATCTAGTTTTTGTTTGTTAATCTTTTTTAATTTTTTAAAAAATAACAATTTACTTTATCAAAACAAAATAATAATATTTGATTCAAATAATAATAATAATAATAATTCAATTTCAATTATTATAAAATAAACCTATAGTGGTTTTGCACCTATTATATGTTTTATTATATTTTTTAAAATTTGCTATGTTTTTTAAGTCTTGTATTTAAAATTTTTAACACCAATTTTTTCACATTAAAGTTAATATTAAGGTTAGGGTTAGGGTTTTGAAAGGGTTTTTGGGGTGTAGAACATTTTTACTTAGAGCATCTCACATTGATTAATTAGCCAATTTTTGAGATAATGTATACATAGGTGTAAAACACCATAGGTGCGTTTTAGTAAAATTCATTTAATTTTTAAAAAATAATAATTTACTTTATCAAAACAAAATAATGATATATGATTCAAAAATAATAATAATAATAATTTAATCAAGATATCAAAACATATAAAAATTACTCTAATATAATTCAGAACATTTCAGAATAGTTTCCTTTATGAAACATGATTGGATGAATCTACAAATTTCAGAAGAATCATCTATCTCAGTATCATTAACACAGTTAAATAGCGTTTTCATATTTCTAACTATTTTAAATGTTCATATTTAATCTGTTGATAATTTTGGTATAGTCATGTTTACGTGATAATTGTGTTAGGCCATCAATGACATATATCGGGGATGAAGCTTGGAATCGGATGATGCTGAGAATTTGAATTATTTTAATATAAAATTTTAAAAATTTTTAAGCTATGTTTTTTAGCTTTTTTTTTAAAATTAGGTTAGAATTTAGGGTAGAGTTTATAATAAGAGTATATTGGATTCTAGTAAGGTTTATATTTTTAAATTGAGACCCAAATTCTCTGCATCATCCGATTCCAAGCTTCATCCCTGACAATAAATAATTTTTTAAAGTACATGCAATTAGGTCTACGATAAATATGTAAACCCGGTCTACCTAGTAATTGGCCTGTCAGGATGCCAGACACAAAAGAATTATTTATATATATTGGATATTAGTAGGATTTGGCTATCACTTAGTACCGTAACATTGGTCTCGAATCGAACACGAAGTGAAATTTATTGGTCTAAGAACTGTTTTATTATGATTTATTGAACGATTGTGTGGAATTTTCGATATGGTAATCATTTGGGAGTATATTTAAAGGAATGGTTTTTTTTTTTTAAACTAAAAAAATCTCGGTTTGGTTTTTTTGTCCCACCCTCTCCCACCCCCATGTAACCTAACGAGCGTTTTTCGACGATGATTTACGCTTGGTACTCTCAGATTTGGCCTGTTGAACAACAGTCAAATCTTGGGTTCTTGTCAGTCACAAGGATTATTATTGTTAGCATTATGCTTGGGTAGGCATAGTTTTGATGGTTCAGTGAAATGAATTGAAAAGATGGAAAAGGTTCGAGATGACCTATTGTGACGACGTTCAAGAACTTAGTTCACAACTAAAAGAAATTTACTGGCATATTTTATCGACACTCTCGAATTCTGCATTATAGTTTTGTATTTGCACACGGTAGCAGGACAGGATACCCGTAATTTATTCCATAGTTTTTAGAAACATCTCCTCGATGAGTGACAAATTTTAAAAACTCCAAATTCGAATTAACGCCCCGGCCTGCTATTACGCGCAATATGGTATTGAATTTATATTCTCACCAAATGCACACCTTACGTTTGGTTCTAAGGATGCGCAATTAGAGATGTCTGAGTTAATCATGCCTTGCTTTTGATTTGCTAGTTGAATTTTCATAATTACACACTCTCTTTAAATGCACACTTATCCCCAGGCATTTAGAGAGATTTGAATGCATGTTTTTAATGAATTATAGAAACAATTTTTATAACGTTATTCGGACAACTAAGCGATAAACTATTTTAAAGCGTATTGAAGACATCGTGGTGATCAGATTGATTTACGCATTATGGTCTAACGTAACTAGGGATGGGCAAATCGAAGATTTTTTAAATCTACTGCGCAGCCTGCACAGGCCTGTATTATGTAGCTCGCTGCCAATGCGGGCCAGAATTGTTAATTTCTGAAATATTTCCATGCGCAGCGGCCCATTCCTAAGCGTTACTCAATTAGTACAATTACAAATTTCAATTCACTCTTATTATCATTTTTCCGATAAACAGTTTTTTTGACAATGAATTGATTTTTCATTGTATCTTGGTTTCTTTTATCTGCATTAATTTAAACTATTCTCAAGTGCTTCTTTCAGATTGATCATTTAAATCAAAGAAATCTGGGTTATAATATTTACTGTATTTTTTTCATAGGGTTGTATTAATTGTTAAGATTAGAGCATTTTTATGGTTATATTTGAATGTTCAATAAATTTATTTGTTAACTTCTTTAATTGAATCAATGAAAAATTAAGAATGTTAAATACCCAGAGAACAGGTATGAACCTTAATTTGGCCACTCATAAGAATGTTTTAAAAATATTATTTTTACTACAGTATTATCGTAGTATCTTAACTTTCATTTATGTTGAAGTTATAAGGACGCTAACGGCGCCCCACTTATGCTCGTATATTATAAATTTACGCATTGTAAATAGCTTCTAAATTTACAAATTTTATCATAACACAAATTGAATTAATGTGAAAAGCGCCAAACATTTTGAAGTTCGCTATCTTTAACTCTTTTTTAAAAAAAATAAAAAGATTTTGAAACAGAATATTGCAAATTAAACTATCCTAATAAATCTGAGAGTTCACAGTTGAACTTGCAAACTGCTTCGTAATGGAGCCTCTAAATTAAGTGAATACTTCGTATAATGAAACAATGCTTAATTAACAATGCTTAATTATAAAGTATTGATTACAAAGTATAAGCAATTTCAGTCTAATTAATACCTTCAAGACGTTTTGTTATTTCTTGTACATCAATTAATTTACTACAATATTTATTTTGAGGCATTGACAAAAATTTTAGTGCTGCTTTTTTGTTTATACTGTCAGCTTCGACAAATTTCTTTTTTATATCAAGATCCTCTTTATCTGTTAAATCTTCTGATTCCATAATTATCTTATAATGATTAATTTTTAAATAAACATATTCAGCAGTAGGTCGGTTTTGTGGATTTGAATTCATGCAATGATTAGCTAATTCAATGAAGCAATCAGGAGTTCCATTAGCAAATTCTGGACGTAAACCATGGCAAATAGATACCGCAAGTTTGGTATCGTATTTGGCCTCATCATAAGGTCTTCTTCCAGTTGATACTTCTGCCATCATAACACCTAAACCATAAATATCTGCTTCTTGTGTATGTTTCTGACCCATGAGAATTTCTGGTGCAACATATGGCATAACACCATAAACACCTTCTTCAGAATCATCCTCATTTTGTTTTCTAGATAATCCTAGATCTGTAATATATGAAATTATATCGCCATCGATATTTTGATGTAGTAAAATATTGCCACTGTGAAAGTCATTATGAATAAGTTCAGTTTTATGAATTCGAGACAAATCATAGGATATATCTGCAAGCAATGTTAATTTCTTTTCCCATACAAGTTCTCTAAAATATTTAGTTAAAAAATCATGAAGATTTCCTCTATTGGCAAATTGATATACCATCATATATTGACCAGTCTCCATGTGCTGAGTTAAACCGTATACTTCAAGTTCACTACCTTCTAATCTACATTCCATGTGATTTTTAAACTTGAGAAAATATATAAATAAAATTTTGTAAGATAATATCTGTATGTAATAAATTGACAATTAAATAAATAATTCAGTTTACCTCAGTTAAAAAACTGAAGGAATTCATTTGAGAACCAGGCAATGTTTTAAGAGCGACTTCACATGATTTGTTACGAAATCGTACATAACCCACACTATTATCACCTTCAACCATTCTTTTACCATCTATCCAATTTGCTGAATATACTGTACCAAACCCTCCTTTGCCAATAATTTTTATATTGTCTAGTCTTTCAAATGGAACCCATTCAATTACTTTTTCATATGCTGTAGCTTTAAGTTGAAATTCCCTAATGCAATCGTCAATATTATTATCACCACTAGTAATTGTTTCTTGAGTTTCTATTGGAGGATCACACAATTGACACCAAGCTGGATAAGTATTGTATCGTTTACAATATTTGCAAACTCCGTTGATGGCCTCTCTTTTGTCATGATAAAAATCAAGTACAATCATGCATTGACCGGTTCCTGTATTTTGAGTAATTCCATATATTTTATGTTTCTCTAATTGCATAAGAATTTTAACCTTATAAAAAATATAAAAAAAATGTGTTAAATGATTGGACAGTATCTCATTCTTTAAGTGAATAATTTTAATTTACTTTTTCTATAAGATCCAAAGTGCTTGTTTGGGGATAATGTAATTTCATGAGGTCAACACATGATATAGTGCGTGATTGCGTATATTGTCCAGATTCGCCTTTAATAGTTCGTATACCTTTCAACCAGGTCGCCATGAATATTAAATCAGATGCTTCATCCATTTCTTGAACACCTTTATCAGATTCATTAATTTCTTGTAAGTTAATTAGTCTTTCATATGGAATCCATTCAATAACTTTCTCATATTCCTCAGCTTTAATTTGAAGATCTTTGATGAAATTATCAATCTCTATGTTTCCACTTGTCCATTCTTGAGTTATTTTCCAAGGATCACAAGATTGACACCAAGCAGGAGAAGTGTTATATTGTTCACAGTGCATACATTGTCCATTTGAAGCATTTCTTCTAGAACTAAACTTATCTGGCACTACTATTAAATATTGCATTGTTACTGGATTTTGGCTGATTCCATATACAATATTTCCTTCCAGCTGCATATAATTTGTAAGCTTAAGATTTAAATGAGTTAATAATATTACAATATATTATATATGCAATAAGCCGTGTAAATAATATTAGCTTACTTTTTCTATAAAAGCATCGCTTTTTTCAGAATCATGCAATGCTTTAAGGTTGACCCCACATGATTCAATACGTGATTTTATATGTTCCATAAGCCATCCTTTAATTATTCTTTTGCCGTCTACCCAGGTCGCCATAAATACTGTTTCTAATTCCTCTTCTCTAATCTTTTGCAAGTTAACCAGTTTATGAAATGGAATCCATTCGATCATATTTTCATAATCTGTGACTTTAATTTGAAGTCCTTTGATATAATCATCAATATTTTTATTTCCACTGCTCCACCCTTGAGTTGCTTCTAGAGGATCACATAATTTGCACCAGACTGGAGAAATGTAAGGCTGTTTACATTTTGGGCATTTTCCATAAAAATTATGTCTACATGTTATAAAATATAATTTATTGTATTAATTACTAAAAAAATAAATGATAATAATACACAATAGCATACTAACCTTTTCATTTATTTATTCAATCGTTGACGTTATAAATTAATAAAAAATTCTTATGAATAACAATTTTACAAACCATGTTTACTTACTTACTATTTATAAGATTAAAAAAAAAAAGCAATATTAAAATTATAAATGCTTATTGAGACGTTTATTCTATAAATGAAATTGATACTTACAAACTTATAATTTCCATAAAGAAAGACATGTATTTAATGATGATTCCTTATAAAAGACTAATTTTATATATAAACCTTAATACTTACTTTCTTTAATAAAATAAAACATGATTAGTATAAATACTAAATTAATAAATTAATAAAATTTTATACTAACCGTCTAATAAAATTTGATTAGAATAATATTTATTTATATATTAAGTGTGAATATTATATAATACATACCTGATAATGATTAAAGTTATAATCTTGCTCACATAATTAAAGATGGTTATGTAAACTTTAAGGCAAGATGTAACAAGCAAAAGGAATGGAAGTATTTCATATGTCCAACTAAATCTAGAATATTTATAATAAAGGACCTATTTAAATAATATTACAAAGTATTAACATTGAAACATAAAAGTGAATTAACAGAACCGAATAACATTGTATAAATACACAAATTCATCATAGCGTTTAATTCATTTAATAATCTCATAATGATAAATATAAAATGCAGTATAACTTCGATATAATCATTGGGTTGATAACTAAAGTTTAATGTACGTAATTAGGTGATGGATTTAAAGGCGTAGGATTGATTTCATTACCACAAACGCTCAAGAAAACAGATATTGTTGAACAAAAAATTTCGTTTGTATTGGGGCTAGAGTTTAAGTTAGTTGGATTAGAAATAGCAATATTATATGAAGTAAGTTTTTTGCTAAGACTCTAAAGATAGTTAACTAAACTAAACTTGGAGATAAATGTGCTTTTTACAGAACGAACGTTTATTTTGTTATGTTATTACCCGATCTTGATTATTAATTGTCTGAAAGTGTGTGACAGTAAAATCAATCCTACTCCCTGATGTTGCCCTAAGATTATATAGTGGCTAGTACTTTTATGTTTTATAAGTAGAACAAATTGTAATGTTTTAATCTATTAAAAGTGATTATATCGAAGTTAGTCTGTATGTTTACTCACTTGAATAATAATTTGTGGAATATTTCTGAAAAAAACATCAAAGAATGCTCCCCAGAAAATCGCGATCCCAAATATATTTTTAAGCATATTAAATATATTGATTTCCTTGTATTGGCATGGTCCATTAATAAACATAGGTACATCCCTCAAAATGATCAAATATTCATAATCAGTTGCTGCTAAAATAATGAACATGGCCGTTAAACTGCGATATTTTTTAACCCATTGTATAAAGCTTTTTCCAATAACAGGATCATTAACTCCCTTATAAATAGTATAGGTTGTTATACAAACGTTTATGAATATTGAAATATTTAGGAAAAATAAACTTTAAGCATATATTTTGCAAGAATTAAAAGGTTATTAATTTAATGTTTGGAATCAATAGAAATAAAAAATTATTAGAAATACCTTGGGGAGTGAAGCTCTGGCACAACATCAGAATAAGACTTAGCAAAAACAGTTGAAAAAATGAAATTTGGAAAGATTAATCCAAGCCTTAATACTGCAGAGCCTATTGCCTCAATTTTTTTTGATTTTAACTTTTTAAAACAAAATTATATTAATTTTGATGACGAAAGCTTTTAAGAGAATATCTGATAAAATAAAGTTACCTTATAATTAAGTATACGAGACAATAAACATAGTATTATATAAATAACAATTGCGACGATTACTTGTATAAAGTAATCATTCCATGCATTTAGCGTAATCCCTGGATATAAAAATTAGTCATGAATTTCAACTTTGACAGCACCTTTAAAAAAGATTATTAACTCACCACTTGGCTGAAGGCCAAAAGTCGAGTCTAAGTCATTTGTCAAACCAATGGAGAATTCAGTAGCTATCTTATATGTAATCATAGTATCTAAATCTGACACCACTCCTAGAACAGTGTTTTCATGTTGTGCTGAATTTGGTAAATTTACGATTAAGATATTAAATTCAATATTTTCTAACTTCGAAATAGAATCATAAATAAGTCGAAGGTTTCCAAATATATTTAGACGTCCACGTCTGACTGGCAATTTTATAGAAATGTCATCTAGTAAAGAGTTAAAGTATATCTTTTGATCATCCTTAGAGAGAGCTGAAACTTTTACTGTCGCTTCCATAGTGAGACGGGCCGAATAGACATCACTATCTTTTGTAAAGAAGTACAAGAAGAGTTTAATCATATGAAATTTGAAGATGTGAATCTTTATGTTATACTACCTGAGGGGGGTGCTCTATATGCTAAATAATATAAAATATCAATTAAAATATAAATAAAATAAAATTCAGATAAAGTCAAAATATTACTTGAATTATACTTAAGAATCCCTCCTTCAAGTCCTTTTAGAGGTTCATTATAATTTTTACTTTTGACAAAATTGTTATCCATTATCACAGAATACAATTCACCATACTCATTGAATGTGCTACTAATGACTTTTATAATAATGGTTTTCTCATCCCAATCAATTGTACAGAATTCCTCCATCATTCCTGAAACTTGTTGCCTAATGCTGTTATCAGAGGTTTTGTAGATAGTGAGATTGCCAGTTGACAAAACAATAGGATCAAAGAAAGTGATTCTTAAGGCGTTCGTTAATGAATTGACACTAGCATTAATAGGTGGGGTAATTTCGTTAATTAAGAGATTTTTATAACCATTGTCTAAAAAAAATATATATATAATATTATTACCATTATAAAAAGATTAAATTATAAGTGATTAAATTTACATAATAGTTGATATAAACATACCAAGATCCTTCAGGACTTGAGGTAACGAAACAGTTAACAAAGACCAGGAAGTATTTTGACTATTTGTATAAGATGAAGGAAGCACTAAAGTATTATTATTATCCATAATAGCACTAACATCAAATTCATCGGTAATAAAAGGACCCAGTTGCCCCAAATATTTATCACCATAAACATCGATATAATGATAATTAGTATTACTAGTAAAGTTATAAAAGTCAATGTCAAATATATAACCGCCGAATGACATTTGCACCCTTCTAAAAGAATGTTGAGGCAAATCAATTATTTTACGGGGAGGTATAAAAGTTGATGATAATACTGCTCCTGATGACAAAAAATTAATATCTACATAGTACGATGTGGTATTGCTGTCCACGAAAACTGTGCAAATTTGGCCAATTCCATAGAACACTGTAACACAATCAACTTTTAAATTTGAAATCTGAATATTTCGATGATACACTTGATAGAGAATAAAAGCCTGCTTATTTGAAATTGTTTGATAATAGGATATGAAGGTGACCTTCAGTGCAAGGCGCGTAAATGAAGTGTTGGCATTATATTCTTCTGGAGAAGTATAAGCGTAAAATATTGCATAACCACTATCAATAGTGGATAATGAAGTGGTCGCTAAAGAGGCTTCTTCTAAATCAATCCAAATATTATCACTTGACAGTCTTGATAAGTTTCCAAGGTCATCACTATATGGTTATAATAATAATATAAATATATTAATTAACAAAAAACACATAAAATGCACCTATGTGTTTAATACCATATACTGTATTACTGTATACGTTATTATCTGTGCTGCATTATTAATTTTTTGCAGGTAATTTGGAGTCAAGTTTAAGTTTCAAGTCTAAAAGTTTCTTGGAGCGCTAAATATAGCGAACATTTTTACTTTGGGTGCCAAACACTGATTATTGAACCGGATTTGAAATACGGCACAGCAGCAATTATGGTGATAAACACCTATGATGCATTTAG